GCATGCGAACAGTCCCACAGCCGATGCGGGGAAACGGCCGTGTAGATGAGACACGGCCAGCAGAGGTTGGCGCCTTGATTTGGCCAAGGGTCCCGAAGAGGCGCCGCGGTCTCCTTCTCCATCCCCCGAGCTTGGCCCACACACGGATCTTCTCCACAGAACGGAATACATGTCGTTGGCAGCATGCCGTACATAGCGTATTGTTTGTTTGGAATGTTCTTCGTCTTTTCAACCGGCCTCGGCTGGAAGGCATTTTCTCCGTTAGTGTTCCATTCGCCGGCGCCGCCAAAGGCAGCAGGCCCACTTCGAAGTTCAGGTTTTGGCGGGACGTCGTGGAGAGGCACAAGGCCATGAGCGCCATGTTCGAGTCCATGTGGGATCCCGCCGTATGGGTGGCGCGCTCCCTCTGGAGCCGATCTCTGCTCTCCGTCCCCCTTCCCCAAGGGGTCCGCCTCCCCTGCTCGACTGCCCGTCCAGAATCAGCCTTGAGGGGCCGCATGCTGTCTAACCTTCTCCTCTGCCCAGGAGGTGCCCAGGCAGAAGCGGGAACGATCGGAAGGAAGGAGGTACGGCTGGTTCCTGTCGTGACACCGCGCAGATCGTTCGATCTTGAGCGATCCCCGCTGTCCGAAGGCCAAGATCGTTTTGAGGGATTGGTTGGTTCGGGCCGAAGGTGACCTCCAACCTTGAATTCCCACGCCTGCGTCGACGCCGCGCGAACCTGCCGCAAGGAGGAGAGGGCAGGAAGCGGAGGACCCAGAACTCCAACGTCATGGTTTTCTCGCAACGTGGACTCTTAGAGATCTGGAACCACTGGGGGCCGAAAGTGGCAGCAAAAATGTCCGTCGTGATTTGTCCGCGTGGCGACGAGGTCTGGGGAGGAGGGCGAGGAGGACGAAAAAGCAGAGGAGGCTTTCTACTTCTCGTCGGGCACGTGAGAAGCGTCGGCCACTTCCGCTCTTCCAGTTCTTGATGTGGGCCTGCGAAAGAGAGGAGGAGGAGGACGACGAGGAGCAGGAGGAGAAAGAGGAGAAGGAGGAGGAGGAGGAGGAGGAGGAGGGAGGAGGAGGGTGGAGGAGGAGCGGAGGAGGAGGCGGAGGAGGAGGTGGCGGAGGAGGAGGAGGGGGGAGGAGGGAAGAGTAGGGAGGAGGGAGGAGGTAGGAGGGAGGAGGAGGAGGAGGAGGCGGAGGAGGAGGAGGAGGAGGAGGAGGAAGAAGAGAGCGGCGTCTGCTCGTCGCTGGCCTGCCCCCCTGGGCTCGAGGAAGCGCGAGCTTGTACTCTAAGGCGCGTGGGTTGACGACGGGCGCTCCGTCGCCAGATCGGGCGGCATTGGCTTCACGAGGGGGGCACAGCACGCGCCCGATCCACGGATGCCTAATCCATGTCAGCGTGGTGCCAGACGGGCGCGCGCGCGCGCGCCCCAGTCGTGGTCCCGGCGGACCATGGTTGGGGGGTCGCCAGCCTGGGTTCGGGCTCAGGCACAAGGAAGAAACAAAAACCATGAGAACAAAACAACAACAACAACAACAACAACAACAACAACAACAACAACAACAACAACAACAACAACAACAACAACAACGACAACAAACATAAAAACGCTGGGGGCCGCACGACGAGGGCGACGGCCGCCCCAAAGGCAGCGTCTGCAAAAGAGGCCCGGCGGACGAGATGCTTTCCAGCGGCGGCGCCTTGCCCCCCTCGGTCCCCGAGGTTTTCTCACATGTTTGTCGTTTCTTTAATGTCTCCTCTCCTCGGGGTGCATTTCAGCAGCTGCGCCTCGCCAAAGTCGTTCCCGTGGTGCCTGGGTCGGCCCGACCGGCCGCCCTCGGCAATGCCGCCACCGTGCCATCGCAACACCCTGGGTTTGCGGCGATTCGAGATGGCAGAAAGGGGCATGTTGGGCTGCCTTTTGGGGCAGAAGGCTCGAATGGGTTGGTTCGTGTTCACACTATGGAGCCCTTCTGGGGGTCGCCTCTGGAGCTCTCGGGCTGCCTTGGGCGCCTCGCAGGCCGTCTGGAAGCCCTCTTGGGCCGTCTTGGAGCTTGATTGAGGGCCTCTCGAGCCGTCCCGGGGGGGTCTTGGGGGCGTCTCGGGCCTCCGTCTTGGGGCGTTGGAAGTTCGAAAAGGCAAGAGCACACAAAACATGGACAACGCATAGTGAAATCTATGGTGTTTGCCTCCCCTTGGGGCCTCCTCAGCCTTGTCGGGGCGGAAAGCTCGAATTGTCGGTTCCTCTTGGGGTTGTTTCGGGGCCCTCGTGGGCATTCTTGGACTCCTCTTGGGCCGTTTTGGAGCCGTTTGGGAGCTCTCTTGGGGCCCTCTCGGGGGCCTCTTGGGCCGCCTTGGGGCAGTCCTGGTGGTCTCTCGAGTCGACTTTGGACGTCGGAAGCTCGAATCGAAAAAGCAAAAACCCGAACAACCTTGCAAAACCTACGGGAAATAAACGGTCCTTGCTTGTCAAGGCTCTCTTTAGAAGATTTGTTGGTGCTCTCTTGGGACGCCTCAAAACCATCAGCACCCGAGATTCAAGGCAACGGCTGGACACCACCATGGAGCTGGACCCCTGGCAGCACGCCGGGCCCTAGTGCGCAGGACCAGCTTCTTGTCGAGCCTGTCTGGCTCACCCAAAGTAGTCCTGAGGCTTCCAGAGGCTGCGGCGATGGACGTTCCCCTCCACGCAGAGCCATATCAACGCCATGAGAATAGGCAGGGGGGCCGTCTACAACCCGCACGTGCGTGCCAGAGTCGAGCAGATGCACGCGACCGGGTTGGTTCTTTGCAGTGAACATTCGATGATGCCACACATGGCAGTCGAACCACCGCTGGAGAGTGCAGGGACTCCAGTAAATCCTCCCAGTGCCTCGGTGGATACAGGCGGTCGACGGACCCCCGATTTTTGCAGGTGCAGATGCAGCAGGCCAGCATGCAACCTTGCCACCCGACATGCACGAGAGGCCGACCGCCAGCGGACGGCAATCCCCAGCCCTAATGGCAGTGGGAAGGGAGCGTAGGGAAACCTGCATACAGCAAGCAACTCGGCTGCCAGCAATGCTGCCTGGTTGACGGGCGCACAGATGACGCATGCTCGGCTTGGAAAATGGCTTGCATTGTCTGAGCAGGAAGTTCCCAGCCCAAGGGAGGCAAGCTGGGATGCTGGAGATGCCGCCAGCTCAACCCCCCGACCGACGATTTCCAACACTGGCGAGGGGGCGGTGGCTAGGCAGGCACGGAGTCACCCGAACGTCGAGCCCGTGGTGAAGCACGCGGGGACAGACAGGGCATGTTCGTCTGTTTGGATTGCTTCAAGCGTAATGGCCGCGGTTATTTCTTAACGTGCTACCACGCGTTCCACGAGAACTGCTGGACCAACAACGCGCGGAATTTCGTTGACAACCAGCGCTTGGATTCGGGGAACGAACCGCCATGCGCTATCTGCCGCGGTCTTTGCACCATTACTGCGGTTTCCCCTGGACGGGCGCGCCCTCGGACGATGCGTTGTCAAGGGCCCGGGAACCCCGTAATCTGAGGACGACGGCGCAGGAGTTGACGACACACGCACAACAACAACCGCCACATCCGGAGCCCCAGCAAGGATACGTACCGATACTCGACGCGGGTCTAGACGCCGCCCAGGATTTTCGCCAGCGTCATTTTCTCCACTTTCAGCGAGGAAACTTGCTTGATTCTGACAATGCCTCGTTCATGATTGGCCACCACGATATTCAAATTGAAAAAGGCGGAGACCTTGAACTCGACCCAGATGGCTACACCGACCAGCGAGGAGGTCCATAGGTGACTGGACCTCGAGTCCGACCCCACCCCCAAGCAGTCCACCGCGCTGCTCCGGAAGAACGGTGAGCTGGCAACGTCGGCGAACGTCTACACTTAGCAGCCTTCTAAGACTTTCACGTCTGACGGCAGCAACAGCACACTGACCGCTCCAGGCCCCAGGATCAACAGCATCGGAGCCAACACTGCCATGTACTCTTACCGAAGAGGGGGGCGAACGGCTGGAGCGCGACGACCGAGTCGTCCCAACGTGGACGGACGCGGCGAGGGCAGCGCACTAGTCGACGACGTCGGCACTTTCGACATCGCGCGCAAGTACGAGGGCCGCCATCATGACGCAGTCGACAGCCCCGCAGCGCGATTGGGCGCGGCAAAGACTTGACGGCGATACTGCGCCTGGATAGCACGCAGCAGATATGCGCGAATTGTCACTCTCGAACAGAGAGGAGAGAGGCTTCCCTAGCCTGGGCAGGGAGTTCTCGAGCTTCAGTCGGCAGGGAGTGCCCAGGTCGCCCCAAAGGAGAGAGCTCCATCGAGCCACGTCCTGATTCCTCGCGACGATGGCATGGAGGTTCCGAGGGCCGCAGCCAGCTCGGAAACGACCCTTGGTTCTTCGGGGAGTTCGGGAGGGAGCCATGAGAAGGCTGTCCACACAACGGAGGGCACCGCGGCCCGCGCCGCCGAATCTTCAATCGGCGCCCACGCGATTGACAGAGAGGGCGCGAACCTGACCAGCATTCCCACTGCACATGCGAAAAATCTGAACCTGGACACCAGGGAGCGCGAGTCGCGACGGGCGCATCAGACGAGAGTAGACGATGAACCCAGCACGGCCCGGACGCATGACCGCCGCAAAACAGCGCACATGTTCTTCGCGCCCATTGTCTTGGAGTTCGCCGATCAGGCGCGGGCGATCTGGGCGCAGACTCGGCAGCCGCGCCACGCCGAGGGCGGCGCCCAGCGGCGTGCATCAGCGCCCCCAGTTCACGCTAGCGCAGACAGGGCGGCCTCAGCCCTGCACCGCCTTGCAACAGACTGCTGGCAGGGCCTAGCGACAGTGAGATGGCCCGCCAGGGCGATGGCCTCAAGCATGGAAACGCGTTTGTTAGTTATCGAAGATGCACAAGAGGCTTGCGCCGATCTCCGACGAAGACGGCACGCGCGCGATCGCGTCGCGCTCTGCGGGTTGAACACGCCCGCCGGGGTCGAGCATCTAGGTGCATTGATTTCTGGGGACCACTGCCTCACGTGGACACGCACCCCTGTCGACTGGCGCGCGCGAGTCCACGGCACAACATGGAACTACACTGGCAGAGCATAGCGAACATGATGCAGGGAGCTCACACGTTAGAGCATGACGAATGAAGCTCACACCCTACGCAAGCAAATCATTACGTTAGGATCACTAGGTTGTGAGTGGAAGTTACTTCCAACCCGTGGCACCGCTGGGGATCCAGAAGCAGGAATGACGGACGCGGCCGCGCCATTTCGGTCGCAGGAAGGACGCGCAGATAAGAGCACCGAGTGGTACATCTGTGTTGATTGCTATCAGAATGCCTTCACGCCTAAAGTCACATCGGCAGTGCAAATGCGATGCCAC